ATAAAAGAATGAATAAAAATACTAGAGCAATTTCCATACACTATTAAAGTAATATACAAAATGGCAGGCTTAGGAATGCAATCCTTTATATACTGTTTTAATGGAAACCAATTAGAATTTCTGGTCTGCTAGGTTCTACATTTGTATAGCTTCCTTAGATTCCTCAAGACAATTCCCTTAAGACATACTGTGGCTATTTATTGCTCAGATTTGGGGGGAGTAGAATAGCAAAAGCAGGATCTGATAGCATATGCTAATTTCTTTTACTGATATATGCAAACCAACTAAAGAAGATCAATTTGTTGAGAGTGCAACTTGGAGTTTTACAGGTTTAATTAAGACCAAGGATTTTCCTCTCATCCGTCATGTTGTGCAAATGACTGGAATGACATGGGCTGGATTGGGTGTCCTTCCTTAGCATGAATTCATTACGAGCTCATAGACTGAAAGGCAATGTTAATTCTCTGTAGTCCTAAATGGATTAATGGGGTACCCTCCAGGAAATGGGAATCAATTAAATTTCTTTGCATATGGAAACTAGAATTAGGGATGATATAGCATGTGAGCTCAGTGTCATGCATTCATCATAATGATGTCAGACTGTAGCAGTTTGCTAAACCCACTGAATGGAAATGTAAGGCACTCAAAAGCTCACCAATCCAGTCCTGTAAACAAAGAGAGAAGTCAAAATAAAGTTCTATTGGGGCACCAAGGTGGCTCAGTTGGTTAAGCATCCGACTCTTGATTTCAGCTCAGGTCATGCATGATCTCACGGTGGTGATAGCAGAGAGCCTGCTTGGGATTCTCTCCCTCCATCTCTGCTCTACCCTTCCCACCCTTTCTGTCTTTCTCTCTCTCAAAATGAATAAGTAAATAAACATTAAAAGAATAGATAAAATTTTATGGCATAGGAACGTTTGCCCAGTAATGAGGAGGAGTATCATTAAATCATAGGTTCTACATAACAAACTTACTGTTTCTTTCCTCTGGCTTCCTCCCTACCTCCTCTGTAAAAGCTAATTCCAAATATTTGCATAGAATTACGGAAGTCATTACAATGTAGGCTACAGAGAAAATCAGAAGGCACAGCAGAAGAAAGCTGTATGTCCCTTTTGCCCATCTCCTCTCTCTACAGTGTGGTCGGGTGAACTAGGCAAAGTGAAAATACTTGATTATTAGCCAACATATGTTGAATAATTTTTAAGTGCCCCATGTTAATTGATTTATATGAAATGGTTTATTTAAACTTTGACACAAATCAGTGAATTTGGATGAGGAAACTGAAGCACATTAAGTAACGGTTCTGATCACTAAGTAAGTGATGAAGCCAGGATTCAGCCCCAAGCAGCTGGCTCCAGAGTTCATGTGTTTAACCACAATGCTATACAGTGTTGCCTGTGCTTTGATCATTTAGGTAACACATCTTCTGCATGAGCTGAAAAGTGTTGCACTTTTTTGTTGGAAATAGCTTGGCAGTAGAGTATCAGACTCAGAGAGATAAAGAGTGTAAGAAGACTTGATGAGATTACTTGTGTGCCAGAGACAGATTATCTGCAGAGTTACATAACTTGATAGTGGTTAAGTCACTTTAATGGCTTTCTTTTAAGTGGTTTAGTTACTATGATTTGTATTAACTTAAATTATGCTGATGCTGTTTCATTACTACTCTTTACTATTAAGCATGTTGGCATGGTAAGACTCTACAGCTTAGATTTTACAATATCCTTCCCTTAAGAAACTTCTAACCTAGTGAGTCTTTCAAGGAACCTAGGGAGATGAATTCACAGGACTCTAGGATCCCAGAGAAAAGTAAATGGGGGCACGAAAGGGTAAAAATACTGGTCTGAAGCGGCAAAGCCAATTAGTTTCACTACTTGGTCCAGAACCCAGCTTGCACTCTTCTCTAAATACAAAATATTTTTTAGAAGGCATCTGCATTTCAAGTACAAAGATGTTATTTTTTTCAGTGTGTTTGGTTGAAAGAATTGAAATGATGAGTTTCAAAACTCGTGGTCAGCATCTCAACTTGTAGAGGTCTTAGAAATTTTGTATTTGCTGGTTTGCTTTATATTGATAGTTCCAGTAAGAAGACTGCTTGCTGTCCAGTTAACTAGTTTCTAGAAAAGTGTTTTCATGCTAGATTCTGACTGGGTTTTGGGGAATGTATGCCATTGGAGTTGTTACTAGAAATTGGACTGTGACACTGAATTGTAACTGTGCAAGCTTATTGGAGAGTAATAAAAAAGATGGGTGCTGTCAAATGCTTGATTTCTTAATGCAGATAGACTGATAGGGACATTATATATAAAGGAAATTGACTTCATGTAGACTTAGGTTATTATGGGATTTCCAAACATTCTTGAACTTCTGCTTAGGTACATACCGATGTACAAGTACATTCTGCTTCCTTTTGCAGAGAGGCTACTCCATGGTCAAGTCCAGTGTTACTGACACATAATTAAGTGATTGTGTTTTTGCTGTTTATGGAGCACTCATTTAAAATATGTTGGCGAGTTAAAGCAATGTAGTTGCCTTCCACAAAAGAAAAATAATTATTTGCAATTCACTTTTAAAAGTGTTGCATCTGTCCAAACTCAACAATGCTAATGTTTATCACCAGAGAAACACAGTTAGCAAAAGCCATTGGTTGAAGTTATTTTTAAATGGAGTTGTTTCTTTATTTGAATTAAGATAAGCTTCATGCCTGCTGTTGAGTTACAGTAATTAAATTCCACATTTATTTGTGGCCATTAAAATGTTCACTTTCTAGCATGGAACCAGACTTACTAAATAGTGGCAAAGTCAAAGAAGAGGACCATAAAAAAAATACTGACAAATTAATGTCTCTTACAATATCTATTCTCAGACCTTAAATTATTAAATATATAAATATTCTTCACTTTTTCCTGATAATAATTTCATCTTTGATCAAAAGCTGTTCCAAAGATTTATGGTATGTGATAAAGGTTTTGATAGGCTTATAAATTTTATTTTATTTTTATTATTGATGCCTTGGAAGCCAGTTGAATTACATATGTACATCTTTGGAATTAGAATTTTATAATCTAGATTTAATTAATGCATGGATGATAGTGCTTCACTGGCAGTACTATCTGTTTGAATCATTAGATTTTTCTGAATACTCTGAGGGGGCAGCTCTCTAATTAGGGCTTTATATATCTTATTAATTAGCTACTTTACAATGGCTATCACCGAGGGAACTGTGTATTCCTGTAAGGCATTGTAAAGTTTGCTTGTTATAAAACAGGATTACAGGCACTTTCCATTTTCTAATCTATGTTCCCCTTCCTCTGTTGCCCCTTCTCTCTGAGTATAAATAGATTCAGTAACTATCTAAAGGCCCTGTTAACTTCAATACCAATGAACAAGGGGCTTTTACAGCAAGTTACACTAAATAAGTGATTTGAACTTGGAGCTTTGATCACCTAATAGTTTTGTAAATTGCTACATATTATTTGCATAAGGTGTATACTTTCTACAAAATGACTTGTATAGTATTTGCTCTCCTTTAAAGCTAAGTAAGGCATTACCAAATAGGTGGCATTGAGATTTTACCTACAAGACCTTACCATAGTGATGGCCCTAGACATACTTTCCTGTCTCTTGGTGGAAATTTCATGCTAGCTAGAGCAAAAGCATGATGCCACAATAGTTGCTGTTTCAAATATGTTTCCAGCCTCACTACGAGAAATCTGCCACAATGGGTTGACCAAGAGGAATTGACTGAGGATGGTCACATGACTGAAACCTGCCTTCCAAACTAGCAAAGGCACTGTATATAATGCACTGCCCCTGCAGTGCTAAGCCTTGAAGGGTCCTTGAATTTAGACAAAAAGCAATTCAGTGTAACCAGCTGGTGCATCGATAAGAGAAATGTCAGCAAATTCCTTCAACCAGTAAGGAATTGGGGTTGGAGTTGAGGGACAAGGGAATAAATACATAGAAAATGTACACAGCTCCTCCAGAAGAAACTTTACAATACATGAGTGTATCTCTAGACTTCCAAGAGTAATGATTGTCTTTTGTGAACCATCATTTGAAAATGAAATATAGAGATGGGATACCCCCTAACAAATTCCATCAAGCCAGCAGTGTTATACATACCTTCGTAAGGTCCTTTTCTTCCATAAAAGCCTTATTAATTACATCATTCAAAACCCCCTAATAAAATCATACGGTGTTAATGTAGTGTTCAGGCATAATACATTTTGAGTGTTCTTAAAATGATTTTATAAATAATTTCATAAAAATAATCACACAGTGGTGCTGGGTTTCACATTCTGCTTAGTTGTGACTTAGATTTCCATTGTAATTGTATTGCCCTCTTAGGAAACTGCCTCCTGAATGGGGGAAAAATGTTAAAATATTGCCAACTCTCCTTTCCTACATCAATTCCATTTCATTTAAAATTTCATTTCTGGGAGTGATTCCAATGTGGAAGACTCTCTTAGCAACTTAAAATGGTCATGTTTGGCTTTTTGTATTCATACTATTTGCCCCACGTGGGCTTTGAATTTTTAATTTAGTTTGGTTATGCTTTGAATGGAGTATTCGCCCATTAAATCAAGGACTTCACAGTAAAGCCAAGGCAGAAAATATGTATCTGCCTAGAAAATAAATCACAGTGTTTGAATAAAAAAGTTATCTATCAGATACTAAACTCAGTGAATCCTGTGACTCAGAACTTGTAGTTCTATGCAGAGAAATACGCACAACATATTGTTGCTAGTTGATGTCACATAGCAAAAATATTTGTCGTCTTCACTTGCAAAATGTAGAAGCATTTTTAAAGTTTTATACGGACGCACCCCAGATTCTTAACAGTGTTTTCTTCTGCAGGGGAGATACAAGAACCAAGATTTGGGGCACTGAATTTGTTAAGCATGCTCTATTTTTTAAAAAGAAGGTGTTAATATATTATTGCTTGTGACATTAAAAGTTAATTTTAAAATACTGTCTTAAATAATTTTGTATACTAGATGTTCCAAAATTCCCAAAAGAAAAAATTGACCCTCTTGAAGTGGAGGAGGGAGATCCAATCGTCCTCCCATGCAACCCTCCCAAAGGCCTTCCACCTTTACACATTTACTGGATGAATATTGGTAAGTAACATTCTGTTCCATACATAGGAAACCTTTTAATTTCATGCATCGTGTCAGATATTATAGCGGAACAAAGATTTAAAAACAGTGTAAGATTATCAACGTGGAAAAAAAGAAAAAGCACATTATCATTGTGGAATGAAATAGTTTTTTAAAAAATTATATCCATCTGTAGAGTGTGTTTCAAGTTTTAAATATTATATTAAGTGTATACATGAAAACACTAGAAAACCCTTAACTATATCTCTTGATTTTATCATATCTGAAAGAGTAGAGGCTGTTGATATGGTAATGTATGTCTATGAAGAAAATGCTATCTGCATTCCAAACAACTTACTTACCTTTGGAATATAGTCCATGTCAAAGTTGAGGATGGCTTAGGTCTGTGTTGCTAGCCTTATATTTCTATTTAATAATGTTCTACCTGCTACATAGAGTGACCCACAGAGAAATTAGCATGAACCTTTGTGTTTCATTTGCCAAAAAAATTGTATTCACTCTCAAGTTGAAACTCCAGCTTCTTGTATAGTTCTTCCGGCATGTGCCTTCACAATGCACCCTAAATGTTTTCACATTGTAATGCAGAGAGAAAAATGATAATATTTGTACAGTACTTGGAAGAAAGCGAGACAAACTATTTTTGGCTGCAGGCAAACATTCCAGACTCCAATCACTCTAGAACTTTCCAAGCTGCATCCAGGAAAGACAGATTAATGTCTTGCACACGACTTTTGGGGAGATCTGTTTGATTGAACCATTTGGACCAGTTTTCAGATACACCAGTATAGAAGTAGCAGCCTAGGTGGTAAGGAGAGGTAGAAGGTACAGAATGGTTGTCCACCAGTGGGTTTCTTTGGTTAATGGTGGAAAGTATGTTCCCAGGGGATTTGTTGCTGTTTTTTATTTTTGTTTTTACTTTTTACTTCTCACTCACTGCTCTTATTTTAAGACCAGACTTGTGAGGAATAGGAAGAGCAAGCATGAACAATGAAATGAAATGAAATAATATGAAAGAAAGGAAAATAAAGAAGGGGGATGAAGCACAATAAAGGACAGTTGCTCCTATTAATGACAAAATGTTTCCTTCCAGAGTTAGAACACATTGAACAAGATGAAAGAGTATACATGAGTCAAAAGGGAGATCTGTACTTTGCAAATGTGGAAGAAAAAGACAGTCGAAATGATTACTGTTGCTTTGCTGCATTCCCAAGATTGAGGACTATTGTGCAGAAAATGCCAATGAAACTAACAGTTAACAGTTGTAAGTCCAAATAATTTATCGTTCCGTCGTGAATGCTGAATACAAATGCGCCTGCAATTTCATTCTGGCTGAAGCCAGTTAAAGCTGGGTGGATATTTTCCGCCATTGTTTAGTTCAACTCTAGAGACTTCATCCAGATGAAAGAGACATCTGCAGCTGCAGACCTACAGTAGCTCTGTCTCTCAGAGCCAGAAAATCAAATCTCAATTCACAGTACAAGTATATTTCATTTGACGTCTGCAGGATCTGGTCATTTGCAGTGGGTGCAATACACAATGATATTCTAAGGTTTCTGAAGCAAGTCTCAGGCTTTGATGCATCGTGATCTTGAGTAACTAGAAGGCTGAAAATGTCGAAGAAAATAGGAGTTGAAAATAAAAAGATTGAATATTACAATTTTTTTTTTTTATCACATCAAGCTTTGTTGTTCTTCCCAAATTGGCAAAGTTATTTGAATTGCTTCTCTTCCCTGCTTGATTCTGCAGATGCCAGTCTGGGTTCCCAAATGGGAAAAAGTCATTAGTGGGAGAAAGAACCATAAGATTCAAAGGGCAGAGATAATCCCTGACAGTTCACTGACTGAATAATTGGCTCTGGGAAGAGTCGAAAGTTGGCATTACCATTTCATTGTCTAATTTGGTTCGTGGTTTTTTTTTTTTCATTGTTATGTGTAGATACACTTTGCCAGGTCTTCACTATAGCATCGCTTTTGGCAGCCTCAGTTCTCTGTAATAGAGCTGTAATTTGTGTCCTCTCGACCTTGGACTCATCTGTGGTGGTTCAAGATTAAGCTCATTATATATATATTTTTTCAAAGATATCCCTTAAGATGATGTTCTAGTGAAGCATGGTTATATCTCATTTTGTAATTTTTCTTAGACAAAACTGTGACTTTCCATTCATTATCGATACTAGCATCTACCATTATGTTTGTGAGTTTTTTCTTTAATTTTTTTTTTATTTCAGTAAGGCATGCTAATGACTCAAGTTCATCCACAGAAATTGGTTCCAAGGGTAAGTTGATCACGTGAAGAGGGTTGGCATTTATTTTTACCTTTTGTAACTCATTGTCATCTCAAAGCTTAAATTTTTCTGTTACTATGTTCATGAGTATATTAAAATACTGATATTTCTATAAAGGAAACCCCTTTGCATAGAGGTTTCTATTACCCCCCCCCATCCTTAACTATATGCAAAAGAGTGATATTTATAAATTCCTCACTATGCAAAAGTATCTATATTTATATATGATATAATTCACATAGACAAATACACATACCCTCCCACACATATATGTATTTTTTTTGAGAGAGAGAAAGAGAGAGTTGGCGGGGAGGGGCTGAGGGAGAAAGAAAGAGAATCTCAACACAGGGCTCAATCCCACAACCCTGGGATCATGACCTGAGCCAAAATCAAAAGTTGAACACTCACACAACTTGTCACGCAGGTGCCCCAGTATGTATATATATATTTTAAATGTTTATTTTTGAGAGAGAAGGCATGAACAGTGGAGGGGCAGAGAGAGAGGGGGACAGAGGATCCAAAGCAGTCTCCATACTGTCAGCAGAGAGCCCAATGCGGGGCTCAAACTCACAAACTGTGAGATCATGATCTGAGCTGAAGTGGGGCACTTAACGAACTGAGCCACCCAGGTGCCCCCAACATGTATATTTGGGTCTCCTAAGACTTCTGTCCTTTTTGAGTGACATTTTGGTTGATAGTTGTTACATGTACGTAGAAGAAAGAAACAGTAGAGAAAACACTAGGTTTAAGAAAGTTAAATGGTTATGTTTCTTGTAAGACTTCTCAGAGTACTTTAACATTGGGCTGTAACTCTAAGAATACAGTTTACTGCATTTTCGTAACTCATTTGTCTGTGAAATATTACAATTTTCCCCCACAGGACAGGTACTATAACTAGTGTTGTATAGAAGATGCCTGAGTGAACCTGAATTATATAACTAGTTTTCCACAGTTCATTTATGTGAATGCAACAAATGTTCTTCATGTCATGGGAGCCAGTGGCTTCATCTAGATTTCTGATACACTGGCAACATCAGAAGGGCTGGAAAAGGACTCTTCTCGGTGCCTTCTCAGTTTGAAGGTGGATTGATTAAATATACTTCCCCAACTGCATTATTGAGGTCAATAACCCAGACATGTTCCTTGTATCTGTACACCCCTTATTAAAAATAATAGCACATACTGTGTGTTCAACAATTATTTTTTGATAAACACGTAATTGTAAGGAAGCTATAGCATGTGCGCACTGCTATCAGGGCTTTTCATTTCTCTACTCTGAATGTCAGCTGTTTGCACCTTCCACATCGTGTCAAATCACATTGACATTGGATGGACAAAAAACAATTTGTGAGAACATTTGGAAATGATGTTAAAACTTACATTGAAAATGAAAGCCCTCGTTTTTCGTTGTATTTGAAAAGCATTCTTGAGCATGTAACAAAGGGAACATTACAATATGTAGTTACTGAAAATGTTTGCTTATCATTCCCTGAAGCACTATGTTTCTTTGAGGGGCTGAGATTGTAAATAGAGTCACCTTAAAGAACTTGCCCACTTCATAGATGCATGGTGTCCACCATACGCTTCCTGAATCAGAATTTCTGGGAGCAAGGCTCGGGAAGCTATATTGTAACAAGCATCTTATAAAATACTTAGGCATACTAAATGAAATTCAAATTCATACACAGCCATTAGACATGGCAAGGTCTGATTAAAGTGTGGAATATAAAATCATAGGCTACCTGTTAACTTTTAAGGACTTTCATCAAGAAACTAATTGTCTTGGGGCATCTGGAGAGCTCATTGGGTTAAGAGGTAGACTTCAGCTCAGGTTATTTGTGAGTCATCTCACCATTTGTGAGTTCAAGCCTCACATCGGGCTCTCTGTGTCAGCTCAGAGCCTGGAACCTGCTTCAGATTCTGTGTGTGTGTGTGTCTCTCTCTGCCTCTCTCTCACTATGCTTGCACACTCACTCTCTCTCTGTCTTTAAATAAACTTAAAAAAAAAACGAATTATCTTCAACCGTACTTGAACTTGTGAAATTTGAAGGTGTGTTTTCAGTCATGACCTTCTTAAAACTTGGTGCTACACTAAGTTATTGATTCTGAGGGACCATCCATGCTTCGTGGTAAGAATGGAGACTATTTAAATGGCAATATATTAAAAATACATCTTTGTATATATACATAGGAGCATATAGGTAAATACATTTTAAGTTTTAAGAAAGATTTAGTACCACAGGATTTTAACTGTCTTCATTTGGAAAAAAGTATGTGACTTTTCTTTTCTGAATTATAGCAAATTCGATCAAGCAAAGAAAACCCAGATTGCTGTTGCCTCCTACTGAAAGTGGCAGTGCGTCCTCAGTTACCATCCTCAAAGGGGACACCCTGCTGCTTGAGTGTTTTGCTGAAGGCCTGTGAGTAACTTGACCCCGTTCATGACTTTGTCAATCCCTTTCTATACAGAATAATGCATTAGTTAAGCAGTTAATCCTATATACACATTTTTAAAATGATTTCCTTTAAAAAAATTCTGTTACCACTTTTCTGGAGGAAGTAATTTGCACTTCACTCTACAGACTTCAGGCTGTGACTGAGATTGATTTATAATTAGATTGCTCTGTCAGTTTGTGATAGTGTGAATGGAGGTGACAATGAAAACATTCTCCTTACCTACGTCAGTAGGGGGATGCCATCCTTAGAGCTTGAAGTTGTTACTTGCCAGTCTCTTACTGTGGGTGCCAGGTTTTTGTGTCTCTGCTATCACATTTTCTCCCACTCCTTCTTGCTATGCTATGGGTTCTGATTGCTTTTCAGGTTGCAAGGAGCCTTATTTATCTATTATTTCACCCTGCTGCCCTTTGCATACAAAGAGGTCCAGAGCACGTACTTTCAGAGAATTTCACTTAAGAATATAATTAACTCAGCTTCTTCTCGTCTGAAAAATCAATGCAAATCCTCCAAAAAATGTCACTTGGTCATGTCTTGAAATTGTTACATTTGTTGAGCAAACACCCTAAGCCTTTGTAAATCAGGACTATCTTATTTAATACTTAGTCAAGGGACTCTTCTAGCTGGGCATCTGGTTGGTGAACTGGGATTTGAAATTTTAAAAATTGTATTCATTCATAACTCAATATATATTCTGAATGAGTTATTTTAAATTGGCTTATGAAGAAAAAGAGCCAATTTTAATGGTTTTGCAGCCCCTTAGCTTTGTAAACGTCTCTCTCCATCTGGCAAAGATATACAGGTTGCTTATGTGTTTGAAATGGCATGCGTAAGCTCACTTCATGCTCACCACGTCTCAAGGCGGCCATTATTCCCATTTGCAGGTTAGGTAAATGACACCCAGCGGCTTGATTGAACTTGTTCAAGCTCAGTATAAAGTGGAGCTGGAGTTCCATCCTGTCTCCAGAACCCTAAACTACCTCTAGATTTAATGTATTTCAGTTCAACCCAATGAATGGTCTGTTCAATTAAGGGGGAGGTGGAGGAGGGCCGACACAAAGAATGGCATTGTTTCTGAATCTGAAGAAGTGGCTGTAGGTCTATACTTCAGTAAATGGTTAGTCGCAATGAAAATGTTGATACTATTCATTAAAACAGGAAAACTTTCACAAAGAAACCGATATGGAGGGGTTTAGATTCTATAAATTCTGTGAATAAGGCAGGAATTTGGAATAGTTAAAGCAACAATGAATCTCATTCAGAAGGGCAGGCACTGAGTGGAAAGTGCGCATTCAGGTGCCAATTCACACTTGCTCTCACCCTGTGGGAGCTTCATTGGAAGTAGAGGGGGGTATTGTCGCTTCCCTCTGTTGATTATTGGTATCAAACTGTTTCTTCACTCTCTTGCCTCTGTAACTTGTAAATTCTTGAGTTTAAGGTAGGTGTGATTCTACTTCAAGATGCTACACTATAAAAATGTAGGAAGAGCAAGGAAGTATACTAACAAAAATTGGCTGGATAAGTACCTGAACAAAATTTGAGAGTATGAGATAGTGCATGTTTGTATATAAAAAGGGATTAAGGTGTGCCAGCATGGCTCATTCGGTTGAGAATCTGACTCTTGGTTTCAGCTCAGGTCACGATCTCTTGGTTGGTGAGATCGAGCCCCATGTTGAGCTCTGCCCTGGCAGTGCGAAGCCTGCATGGGATTCTCTTTCCCCACCACCCCCCACTTCTCTGCTCCTCCCATGTTTCTCTCAAAATAAATAAACTTCTTTAAAAAAGGGATTAAGCATTATGTTTTGCCTCAAATTTTCACTGCCCAACTGCTGTTAGTGAATGTTCCTTAAATTTAAAAAAAAGAAAAAAATTGACAAGAATATAGCTGGATATTCTTGGAATAGGAGAGATATGTCACTAGATAAATTAGGTCTCATGTTCACCTGATACTTGTAGATAATCATTTTATTCTGTTCTCTCAAGGGATAGGTATAAAGGATTAGACTGGTTTTCAAGGACTGGCAAAAAAGAAAGGACAGAAGGAAGGCAGGCAGGAAGGATGAAAGGGAAGGGAAGGAAGGGAAGGAAGGGAAGGAAGGGAAGGAAGGGAAGGAAGGGAAGGGAAGGGAAGGAAGGGAAGGGAAGGAAAGGGAAGGGAAGGGAAGGGAAGGGAAGAATCCTGCAGAAGCCTGCAGAAAGTGAGATGCTTGCACTATTAAAGCATGAACTCATAGAAAAACCATTTTGGAGGAACTTAGGTCCAGAGCAGCCTGTAATTTGGCAAATTGCCATTTTGACAGATGGCGTGGAAAGCAAGCAGTTAGGAGACTTGAGTTTCTGCATTCTGTTAGGTAGTGTGTGCAGGAAGCCAGAGCTAATATCATCTCCCAGCTGCCTGTTGGAGCATCATTACTGTTTCCCACAAAAGGGTGCCCTGTACTCAGACTAGGCAAATAGAAAGTGGTGGTTCTAGATCTGTAAGGCACGTTACAGGCTTCAGCCTGGAATGGAGGAAGGGAAGAGAGTGTGTAAATTAAGGGACCTACCTCTTTACCTTCTATATAGTTTTTGCATAATAATGGAATTATTTTAATGCTTGCCTGAGCAATTCAAACAGTCTGAGATAATTGACAGAAACAATATGAGGTAATTGTTCAGTGATTAACTACTAACTAATTAATTCGGCTACAAGCATATATCCCAAGAATATACAGTTAGGAAGGGAAAAGGGATAGAAAAAGCACAGGTATAATAAAACACAGCCATGGAAAAAGCAAGTTTAGTGTTAGACAAACTTAAGTTCTAACATGTCATTTATTACCCTAGTGACATTAAGTGAATTAATTAACTTCTTGGAGCTTTAGAATCCTCATTGATAAAGTGACGATCATAATGCCCATCTTTAGAATATGTCAATAACCTGTAGCTATTCATAATAAAAATAAATAGAGCAAGGAAAAGCAGCATCAATAAAAATAGCAAAATTAAGTTTTTCCATTCATATAACCCAACCGGAGAAGAGAAATAAAAAAATATATTAATTAAAATCAGCCTTCAGTGTTTTCTTTTCTTTTATTTTAAATGTTTATTTATTTTTGAGAGAGAGAGAAAACATGAGTAGGGAAGGGGCAGGGAGAGAGATGGAGACAAAGAATCCGAAGCAGCCTCCAGGCTCTGAGCTGTCAGCACAGAGCCCCTCCGTAGGGCTCGAACTCACAAACCATGAGATCATGACCTGAGCCAAAACTGGACGCTTAACTGACTGAGCCACCCAGGTGCCCCAGCCATTGGTGTTTTCCACATCACTTGTAAATCACAAGAGTCATAAAGGTCACCAACCCTCTGCTTGTCTGGTTTTCCTGAGCTGGGATTTTTCTTAAACCCAGGTGGCTTGATTCCCCACTACTGTTTTCCTCCTTAAGGTGGAGACAGTTATTCTCTTGATGTATGACACGTTAGCAGTTTGGTTTTAGTTTAGTTCAGTTTTTTTGTTTGTTTCGTTTGATTGGGTGATCTCATCTTTCTGAGCAAGGGAGATGTGGTTCATCTGCCCCCTCCTCCTTGCTCCCTCCCACTACTTTTCTCTATTCCCCAACAAAGGAAGAAAGCCACTTGGGTAGCCATGTCTGTGCAGAGCCCACCTTACCCTAAAACAGGCCGTTCTTGGTCCAGCCATCACATACAGTTATCACATCTGCGCCATGTTCTCCACTATCAGCTTCATTTGTATTAAGAGGATAGTACTTCCCTCTGCTTACTATTGGGTCCTACTTTATCTTGTTTTTCAAACTCATATGGGGAGGAGGGCTATTATTTCTAGCCACTCCAAATCACCTATAAGGAGGTTTCACACTTAAAATATTTCTAGTAAAATATTAAAACCTTGAAAAAAAATCTTTTAATATTTCTGTGGATCCAATTACCCACCCTTTATCTATATATACCTATTCAGCTATGATAGATAGTTAGTCCTCTTAATGGAAGAAGCATGATTTCCATGGAAGCAGACTATTAAAGGTGCTTGCATTAAAGGAGACCTGATCCAATCCAGCGTTCACCATCGGTGGTGGAGTACAGGTCCATGCCCTGGGAAGGCTGATTGTTACTTACTGGAACTCTGAGAGCATATGTAAAAGCAATATGTTAAGTGATGTATCCTGTGAGTAGCTTTGATTTTAATTTTGCAGCTTAAAAAATGTTTATCATGTATTTATTGTTTTGCAGACCAACTCCACAGGTCGATTGGAACAAAATAGGTGGTGATCTACCCAAAGGAAGAGAAACAAAAGAAAATTATGGCAAGACTTTGAAGATAGAGAACGTTTCCTACCGGGACAGAGGGAATTATCGCTGCACAGCCAACAATTTCTTAGGATCAACCTCTCATGATTTTCATGTTGTAGTAGAAGGTACTTTCCCCATATTGATTTATTTTTCTTCTATTAAAGAAAAAAAGGTGAACCTATAATTCCAAAACATATATGTTAAAACAGGTAAGCTGTTTAAACTTTTGTTTTTGGAGTGGGTATTGAACTATATTATACTTCAGTTAACCAGATTTGACATTTAACCTGCAAAACCTTATAAAAGGGACAAATGGAAAGAAAAGATCTCATGTTAAGGTATTAAACACACCTGACTTTCACACAATTTTTATTATATATATGATACTGCATAATATTAAATCATAGAAGAAGTAAGCATTACAAAGACAAATTATTTTGAGGAGCTTGGAAAAAAGCTTAGAGTTTGTTTCCCAGTCCTGTGGTTAACTTGCTGTCTCTTTAATCAATTTACTTTGACTTTCTGTTCCTTAGTTTCTTCCTCAAAAAAAAGAGGGTATCAGGCAAATTGTCTTAATTCTTTCCTAGATACGGTTGTTTTTTTGTTTTGTTTTGTTTTGTTTTTTTGGTCCCTATCTTGGGTTCACATGATATTCAATATGTTACTTATGGGGATGGAGTAGACTGAGTGCTGTAAATACTAATTTTCTATCAAAAGATGCATTTATAGTATCTTTTGATAGATACTATAGTATAGTATCAAAAGATACTATTATAGTAAACTTATCTCTGTAAACCCACGCCTTTGTTGAATAGAGGATTAGCTATTGTTGCTTGTATTCATAGAAATAAATAGGCCATGATGTCATCATTTAAAAAAGGGGGAAGCCACACAATGTGGATATTGGGGCTGTACCTGCCCTGCAAGTAAAGTTTATCTGGGCATCTTATGAATCTGATTGATGCACACTGATTTCTATGGGTCTAATTACAGTGAGGTCTCCTATCGATGGTTTGGTTGACTGAATTGATCAAATTAATGGATTGATTACTGCATTTGTACTCATTTAGTGCTGTGAGGGCTTAACTAGTGAAAGGAATTGTCTCTTTCAGGGTCCCAGTTAGTGAAGTGATGCTCTAGGGTTTCCATTTATATTCCAATAAAGTTTACCTCTTAAACCTTTAATCTGTACAAGGAACATCTAAGTAAAAAGCTGTTTTAATGAATGGGAAAAAATGAAGACTTAGACACAGATTACATTTACAAGTAAATGTTAAGATAGATGTTTTGGTCTAGGTGCTGTTTGGAATAACACCATGTTTTTAAGACCTCACCCACAATGTATATGGTCAGTTCAGTTAAGAAGAATGGAAAACCAAAGATGAGAGTATCATTTTCCTTGATTCAACAAAAGCAAAACTGGTATAGGTGACATCTTAATATTATGCATAAATATCAACATTTGCCATCAGTGATATATTCTTCTGACCTGGCATTATTCACAAAGAAATTCAAAAAGGAAGATTTGAGAAGTTTATATATATTTTTATTCATCATTTGATGCTTCATTGTTTTTTGTTTTTTGTTTTTTTTTTTTTTTTTCATTTGCTGCTTCTATATAAATCGGCTACACCATGCAGCAGGGATATTTTTCTGTAACCCCCTACCCCTGCCCCAGTGTAAACACGTATATCTACAAACCAGACATGTCTAGTTGTTAGCTGCTCCTACTCCAAATTGCTGACTGTTAGAAATCCTTCCAGATGGCTGGAACATTGCTACGGTAGCTGAATATTTTAACAATCTGGCCACGGTTTTCTTGACTATAAGACTGAAGCTTTGAAAAGAATTGCAAGGGTTGCAAAAAAAAAAATAAAAAATCAAGGATGTAAACTTAATTATGCAGTTTAAAATGTTGACTATAGGACTCCAAAGGAATACAGGTTTCCTGAACGAATTGTCCTCACTATTCATAAAACAGCTATTAGCACTATTGAGATGTAAATTATGTTTTTATTAGGAACATTTAATCTTTTCTCCTTAATGAGAAGCTACTAAATGTGCCCTCAGTTGTATGTTTTAGGAGTTTCTCTTCACACATGCAAGTGAAAAGCAAACTGGGCTCAAGAAGTCATTTTTTCTTTTTTGTGTATATGTGTGAAACCAAGAAATACAACCTTCATTTATCATATGCGCAGATCAGCTTACTTTCATTCACTTGTCTTCTGCCTTCCTATATCTCCTTTCCCCTTTTTTGTCTCTTGTTTAGCAACTCAAATTGAATAACAAGAATTACCATATGATCACAAAGCAATGTAACCGTGAATTTTGAAAATTGAGTCCATTCTGAAAACACCCATTTGTGCTTAAGTAAAAGCATGTATTGTTTTGTAGTCTCTGTAGATGTGATATTTCTTCTTTATTACTAAACATAGTCAAATTCTGTAATTTAAGTTACAACATCCTAAATATGAAGACCGTGTGCATTTTCAAATTGTCTAATCCAGGTAAATAAAAACAGCTAGGATGTCTTGATGAGGCACAGCTATCCTTTCTAGATATCTATGATACAAATAGTGCACATTCAATAAAAAGATAAACATTAAAATGACATCTAAGCATTCTAAATCCAAAAAACAGAATATGACCACAATCACATTTCAACTGATTATTTATTTATCTATCTATCTATTTATTTATTTATTTATTGAGTGTA